AGTCTACGTGGGGACCCTGGGAATGCATCTTGGGCTTCCACTGTCATCTATAGCCGTCTGCAAATCAGGTGTGCACCATTTAAGCTCTGATACCATTCTCTCTTTGGGGTATGGATTATATTATTTACAATCCTTGGATCTCACAAGCTGACATGCTTCTTCCATGTGGATTTAGTTGAAGTCTTAGGTAAATAGCTGCTTGTTTGATGATAAGCCTTTAAGATCCCAGATTCTATTCTTTTTGATAGCCTGGCACCATCTAGTAAGCCCATGATTTTTAGACTGTACCATACTGCTTTGCCTATAATGAACTAAGTTATAGAAATTTCATCCTCCCACGCATCTTTACGTTAAAAAAATTAAATAGAGCCTACCCAAAGAAGCACTAATTTAGAAATTATTCTCTGTACTAGCTTCCACTCTACAAAATATAGCCAATTATTTGAGGGTAAGTAAAAAAATATTGTTACAAAATTATGGAAGCCTTTTTAAAACAAAAATATCAAAATATGATATATGATTTCTCAATATATCCTCTATATAAGTTTACACAGTTTTGAATTTGGTGTTTCCATCTTGTTATCCCTTCCCCCCTTCCCTGAAGACTTCTATGATATTAAATTTATAAAACCTAAAAATGGCAGCTTTGACATTCTCAGTGGACTCACATCATAATCCTTTAAAATATTCTTGAGTTTGAGGAACAAAAAGTGTGAAGGGGCAAGGTCAGGGGACTTAGGCAGATGGGGTAAAGTTTCCCAATGAAATTCTCAGAGGACAGTCCTTGTTACCCTTGAAGAGCAGGTGCGTTGCTGTGAGGGAAATGCATTCCTCTGCACACCTTTGCCAACCTTTTCTCCTCCGTGCAGGTTTCCGTTGTCTTAGAGTTTCTTCCTAATAGTCCCCATGGTCTTCTTGTGTCCTTCCAGAAAATATAATAGCATTACCCCTTTGAGAGCCCCTCAAAACAGCTGCCTAGTTGACCTCTCTGCTTTGAATTGAACTGGCCAGCAATTCTTCTCACAAGCTACCTTTCTGATTGGAACTTTTAAGTTTCCAAGGCACCCTCTGACAAGCGTGGGCCTTAGATAACTTTTCTGCAATTATTCCCTGGCTGGAGACATGGTTAAGCACATTTTGGTTTGAATAAACATATACATGTAAGAACTGGACCACACACAACCCCCCACCAGCAATACTTTTTGACTTATTCTTGTATTAACTAACAATCTGGATTTTCACAGTTGGTCTTGATTTTCTGGGTAGTCATAACCAAGAAAGTTTGTCTGTGATTAGTGTAAACATGCAGGACTTAATGCTTAAGCCATACCTTACTATACCTTGTTTGTAAACACTAGCTCTGTCCAGCTCCTCGAGAGAAGTTCGATCCTTATAAGTCTGCTTCTCTTCATAATGGCATTTCCACATTTACAGACTTCTCACGTCCCTCAGGTCATTTTTCATGTTACCTTCCCAGAGAGCCCTTATCTAACCACCTCATTTAAAATGGCAACAACTCCTACATACGTGCATGGGTGTGCGCACCCCCACCCCCACACACATACACACTCACATGATATACCCTCCCTGTCCTATCCATCATGCAGTGTCTGACTCCGTATCACTTACTACCCTCTGGCATACAGAATATTTACTTGTTTACTGGTTGCTTATCTCCCACCCACTCCCATCCCCACCCCTCATCAAAATATAAGATTCCCGAGGGCAGAGATTCTCATATGTTTTACTGATTTTTATCCTGAGATTAGGTGTCTGGATAGTTGTGGGAAAACAATGACAGGTAAGGTTGCCTAGTTAGGTAAAGGCCAACAAAGAAAAGCTAACTCCTTGTAGGATTGCTGAGAAGACTGAGTGAAATGATACAAATAAATTCTGCAAATGGGTCAGGTCGTCCAACAAGGGCTTAACCAATGTTTATTGTTATTACTTACCACTAAAGGCTGAGGGGAGCTGCACTCAGAAAAGGGGTGGCTCATGGGGGGGTGTGTGTGGGAGAGAGAGAGAGAGAGAGAGCGAGAGAGAATGAGAGCATTTTGAGAAAAAAAATGTAAGGATTAAAACTAAAAGGGGAGATGATTAGATGTGCTTATTATTTTGGAGATATAGGTGTGACATTTATGTATGTTTGTTTAAATAGACTTGCTGCTAATTTGAGTCTTTCAAAAAATCTCTTACAGAGAATTTCAGCTGGCAGATATAGCCTATGGCAGTGACTGCTCAGCCTCGGGTCCAAGGGTCAGCTATGCACTCCACATTTTGAGCAAAGGGCTGCTTCAGGTGTTCTTTTAGGTTATCTGTCTGCACGAAACTCTAGCCCGGGTCAGGAACACCAGGGGCCTACAACCCGAGGGCTTTTGGAAAGTGATCTTTTAAAATCTGGGAGAGATTTAAGGCATTTTCTTATCTGCTATGTTTTAAAGCACATTCTCAAAAGATGGTCTTGTGGAAAGCAGCGCTGGAATGACCATGCTTTTGCTGGGCCCCTCTCGACTCCAGTCTCCTCCCTCCTTCCAAGGCGAATCAGCACCTTCCAAACCCTGTTGAACTCTCCGAGGGTTTCCCAAGTGTGCTCTGTTTGGGGTTATTGCGTTGGGCATGTTCAATATTTCCTCAGATGTCACTGAACTGTGCTTGGGTTGTCCTTCCGGACATTGACCCTAAAGCAAATAGATAATGTTCTTGAAAAAGCATGAATTCTGTTCAAAGTTTGATAATGATGAAAACTGAAGTTGGAAAAGGTTGTAAAACCTTCGGACTCCACAGTGGAGTCCATTGTTTCTCCGGCTCCCTCAGGCTCATGCTCACCGGTAAGTGATTTACGCTTGTCTACAACGTCTGAGGACTCTGTTCTGCAAAGCTGTCTCCTTTAAGTCTCACTTTGTATTCTGATTATTCAAGGCTCATCATTTGATAAAGAAAACAACATAGCTTTTATGTAAATTTGAAGAATGAATTAATCATTTCATAATGTTGTATAGTATATGGATGACTCTTGGATACTGCCTCATTTAGGGTCATGCTGTTGTATTCAATAATTATCTTAAATTCTGTGTGTGTGTATTGTATATAGGTGTGCAGCATAAACTGTCAGTTGGATTGAATAGTCTTCCAAAATAAAAGTGCTGGTTAAATTCTTTTATAGTAATTTTATGAAAGTAGGATTCTGTTTGTGCTGATAATTACGAATTCTATCCCAGAAGACCGATGCTGGTTTAATACAGAACTATTCACACTTCATCTCTTATTCAACATCATACTCATTTCCTCAGTTTACACTAATATAGATGCTAAAAAATAGGAACTCTGGATACATGCCGAGAGAGATCAAGTTGGCTTCTAGAATCTAATTTCAGTTTTCCTAGCCAGTCGAAACTACATTACTGAGGACTTGAGCACATAGATAAAATATATTTATATCTAAGTCTAGGAATAAGGTTGGATATTTCTAAATCCTTTGAGGAAAGAAGAGAGTTTTCTGAACAAGTTAGGCATAAATTATATATGGTTGTTCCTAAAAATCTGTGATATGAGGACCCAATAGAGGTTATTGGGATCCTTGGTGGTGTAGTGGGCTTTGTGTTGGGCTACTAGCTGCAAGTTTAGTGGTTCAAACCTACCAGAAATGCCCCAGAATAAAGACGAGGCTGTGTACTCTCATAAAGAATTAAAATCTCAAAAGCCCTACGGAGCAGTTCGCCTCTGTCCTGTAGGGTCATGATGCATTCAAATCACCTCTGTGACACTGGGTAATCCAGGTATTTGATGTTGCTAACGGACCTTGAGTAAGCTCTGATCCATGTCAGCCATATGTGTAACAGAACAAAACGTTTTCTGGCATGTTTGTTGGTATGCTTGATACCATTATTGAAGCTACTGTGTCAATCCACCTCATGGAGAGCTTCCCTTGTTTCTACTGACCCTGTTTACAGGCTATTAAATCGAGTTGATTTCCTGTATGTATGTGGTTGGAATACACACCTCCCCAACACAGCCATGGCCACCATAATTTCCCCTTCAACTGTGCTCTCTAAAGCCCTGTAATTTTCTCTGAAGGGTCATTTCACTGCTTGGAATTATTGTTTGGATGCCCCTTTCCCATGAGGTTGTAAACCCCTTGAATAAATAATATTTCCCCAGTACTAAAAGTAATAGCATTATACACACACACACACACACACACACATACATAGATATATCTGATGAATATTACAGGTGAATTAGGAAGTTACTTAGTAAAACAATTCCTCATCAAAAACAAGAACAACAACAACAACAACAACAACAACACAGCATTACGGAGATATAATTCACGTACTGTCATACAGAATACAGTGAAGAACAGATACTTATCCATAGCTCTGGAGGTTAAGACTTCAAATGCAAGGCATTGATAGGGTCCAATGGAGCCCTGGTAACATAGAGGGTTACACACTAGTTGCTAAGCTCAGCAGTTCAAAACCACCAGCCAGTCTGTGGGAGAATGATGTAGCTTTCTACTTTGGTCAAGGTTGACAGTCTCAGAAGCCCACTGGGCCAGTTCCACCCTGTTCTATAGGGCTGCCATGAGTTGTTTGATGGCAGGAGCTTGGCTTGGTTTCTTGATAATGTCCGGCACTCTCTCTGGCCATTCTCAGGAAAGATCCTACCTGGTCTCTTTTAGTTGCTGGTAGCCTCATGGGTTTCTTGACTTGTAGACTTGTAGACAGAGACTCATATGCTGGCTCCCTATCTGTTCTCCTTCTCGCCATGCTAAAAGGATATGTGCTGGAACAGCCTTCCTTAGTTAACTTGCCTTCATCTTCAAGGTCTCACGCTAATATGCTTCCTTCCCCTTCACGTGAGATAGGGAAAGGGTCTCTGCTCGAGGGTTCAGGACACCCCCCTCTTGTCCTTCAGTCACATTCCCCTCACTTGAACTCGCGTGTAAGTTTCAGGAGGGTCAGGATCATGACTGGTTGGAAAGGAGGTGTTGCATGTGATTGTTAGGTTGGGTGAATCAGTTCCTTAATGATTTCTCCCTGGCTTTTAGACTATCCTGAAGTGACTTTGTAGTACCCGGGTCAGTATACTTTTTCAATAAGGGACTAGAGTAAACACTTACGGCTTTGGGGGACATAGGTTCTGTCACAACTATTTAGCTCTGCCATTGTAGTGTGAAAGCAGTGATCAACAATACTTAGCTAAATTTGCATGGCTGTGTTCCAATAAAAATTTAAAAACCAAACAAACAAACACAATAATATCCATAAATCTCTGGAAGAAACCATTGAGAGCACTTGGTCATATGATTTATATATATATATATATTACGTGAAATATATAGTACACATATCCCCTATCACCAAGTGATCTCAATATTATTTATATTATGTATTATCTAATATCATATATAATATATATTCCCTGTGACCAGTGCTCTCAATGTATACATATAAAACATTATTTGAAAATAGAGACAGTGAGTGCATTCCCCCTGCTATAGCAGCATCCTTTGCTGGGAGGTTCCTTGCTCTGGTCAGTTTTTCTTTCGCTTAGTTGTCCAGCAATATGTATTCAGCAGCTAATTGCTAGTAACGATTCCAGCCTTTGGTGAAGACCAGTCAGCCTATTCATCTGTTGCTCCTAGTTGTGTGTCATCCAAGTCATACTAGCTGACTATGGGCATTGGTGCTGGGTGCTGACATTTTCAAGTTTCAGAAAATTTGTGTACACCTGATATGGCTTGTAAAAACCCATTTCTCCTCTCATTTCAGTAGCCTCAAGCCTCTGTGGCATGCTCACTCACCCTCCTTTCTGATACCTACCAATGCCCCAAGTTCTCTCTAGTGACTCCTCTAGTTACAGCCTGAGTTAGTCTGGGTTGACTAGAGAAAGAAATTCATAGACACTCATATCAGAAAAAGTAATTTTATATTGAGAAAACATCCCAGCCTAGTCCAGATCAACTCCATAAGTCCGATATTAACCCATATGTCCAATACCAATCTTTAAATTCCTCTTCAGATTCATGAAACGCATGCAATGATGATGAATGCAGGGAGATCACAAGCCAGTGGGTGAGAAGTCTTGTGGATCCAGGGGCATTGGAAGCATCTCAGCACTTGCATGGGTCTACACATGGCTCATCTAGCTTAGGGCACTAGCATAGCTTCCATCTGTCTTGTCAGTTGCAATGTCTTCTAGGTAGTGAACACAGAGAGAGTGTGTCTCCTGTCTCCAAGGATAAATACCAGAGTTCCCAGAATCCCCAAGAGAAGGCCACACCCACACAGAGGTCTCATTGGTTATAAACAGATTGACAGGCTAGACTCCACCCTTTCACTCTTAAGCCTCTCAAATTGACAAACAATTCTATAACTACCACACCTTTACTCTTAATAGTCTCATGTTGATAACAGATTATGTAACTACCACGCTGCTCCTTCTCTGTTTCCTCTCCTTTCCAGCACTGGAAGTCCAGAGTGTTGGTGTTAATGTTCTAAGGGGGAGACATATTTTATGTGCCTACCAGTATGGCTCAGGAGACTGTCTTCTGATGTGGGTTTCTGTGGGGATAAGTTATCAACACATAAATCATTTTAAGCAAAAAGAAAACTTCAACCCGGGATAGTTAAACAGAAGCACATGTAGTATGCAGGTTACAGCCCAGCTATCATTTTGCAGAGAGGGACACTGGTGTTGGTGGGCATACTGAAATTTTTTTAGGGGATTTCTTGATTAGATGGCCAAACTTTGCCAAGCAGTGTTTTAACATCTCAATTTCTGGTTTTAAACCCCTATATTCTCTGAAAGGAGCCCTGGTGGCATTGTAGGTTATGAGTAGGGCTACTAACTGCAAGATCAGCAGTTTAAATAACGATTTACAGTCTTGAAAACCAAATGGACAGTTCTACCTGGTTCCATAGGTCACTGTGATTCAGAATCAACTCAATGGCAGTGAGATTGGTTTTGGTTTAGATTCTCTTAAATGTGTTGGAGAAAAAACAAAACAAAAGCCAACAACAAAAAAATACATTTTCTTCTGGAAGACCCTGACAGTTCTCGGTCTGTTTCCAAAGGGATTTTTAGTAGAGTGCAATCATTTAATATCTAAAACTATACAAGAAAATGAAATTGCATTGACTTTTATTTACAGCTCTTATGTGGAAGTAAAATTTTGTTACTGTACATAATGGTTTGTTATACCCACAATGGGGTCAGTCCCCTACTTAGGGTGACCATGTACACAAGAGGATCAAACCATTGGGATCAATAAGGTTTTCCTTGGCTAATTTTGGGAAGTAGATGACCAGGGCTTTCCCCCTTGTCCATTTCAGTCTGGAAGCTCTGCAGAAATCTGTTCAGGATCATACAAGCTTCCTTGGGGCTGATTGCCCATAAGGTGCTTTGATTAGGATTCAAACTCGAGTCTCCTGGATGGAAGGTGAGGATTCTATCACTGATCCACCAATGCACATGGTCCACCACGATTGCGCAGCATGGAGAAACCCTAATGAGAGGTTCTTGTAGCTCATGAAACCCAGGTACTTTTCACACATTTTAGGAAGCTCAAAATCAAATTGTCTGCTTAGGTGCTAACAATATGTCACAGATAATGGAGAGAGTAAAATTAGATTACGTGATACCTCCTTGTATTGATTGGGGAGTGGTGGAGAATGATGTGACAAGACACAACAGGGCTCTTAAATCATGCAAATTATCAAGAGAGGGGAAGACACACTGCCATGAACATATCTATTTATCACTGAAAACAAGATTCCTCCGGTGTCTTCAGGGTCTCAGGGATATTCTGAAGTGTTTGCCTTGT